AACCCTAAACCTATGCAATCTTGAACTTGGCTTCTTCTTGATCGTCCGATCTTCGATTCCTGAAAAGAAGCAACAAGTACTCCAAGAGAAATAGTGTTTGTCAATCATCAAAACATAAGACATGAAAATAGGTTTGCAACATTATCCACTTCTTGTTCATATCACTTGCTAATGATCAAGTGCAAAGTTTCATTTCTTCTGGATGATTAGTTTGCATGCCAGATGGACTTTGAGAGAGTGTATGATTACTTCGGGGTCAATTCCAGGCATATCCACCGGGCTCCATACAAAAATATCCTGATTTTTTCGTAGAAAATCTGTGAACTTTTTCTTCTCGTGGTTTGAGAGAAGCGATCTAATTGGCACCGTCTTTGAAGGATGTTCTTCAGAGATAGACACAGTAGTAAGGTCTTCTACAGGGGAAGCTCTCTGAGAGATATCCTCATTTCGGAGATCAAAGTCCTCGATACTCAGGGTAACCATTGGACGTGACTTGACCTGACTGAGATAGCAAGTTTGTGCTATCTGTTGATCTTTGCATACCAAACTAACTCTTGTTGTGGTATGGAACTTCAGCTTGAGGTGAGGTATACAGGCGACAATCCCAAAAAATTATTTGAAGCGACCTCCCAAAGATAGCGTTATAAGCCCATTCTGACTTTACAACGATGAACTGAATGGAGTGTGTAGACTGTCGAGAAAATTCTCCAAGTATAACTGGGAGATTGATTATCCCTTCTGCTCGTATAGGTCAATTATCAAATCCATACAAATGACCTGTAGTAGGTTGAAGCTTTTCTCTTGAGAGACCCATGTTGATGAAAATAAAGTAGAACCGGATATTTATGGAGCTTCCATTGTCCATAAGAATTCTTTTGACATTATAACATGGGTCACCTATGCCTGCATTGATGACGAGCAGATCTTGATAAGGGATTTTTACTCCTTCCAAATCAGAATCATCAAAGGTGATAGAGTGATCTATACGAGTGTTCTTTGGAGTTGGATTTTTATCTACAGCTAAAAAGACTCAATCAGATAATAATGAGCCTCTAGCGATTGTCTCAATTTCACCAGCTGTTATTCGATTATTCATTTGTGGCCTATGTTGTTAATTTTATCGCCCAGCAGGATGAGTTTCCTCTTGGGTAGGTGAATCCCGAATAAACTGTCGAAGATAATCTTGATGGATAAGTCTTTCATTCTCCTCCTTGAGTTATCTACAAGCTTCGGTAGTGTGGCCACGACTACGATGAAAGTGGCAGTACTGATCTTGATTTCCTGTGTTCAGCTTCAAAGGATGCGGCCATTTCACTGTATCTTGATCTCGAACAGCCATTAATATATTTGCTCAAGATGTATTGAGTGGAGTGTACTCCTTCTCCTGTCGAGGTTCTCGTCATGGCAATGGAGGCCTATGAGGTAGATTGTTCTTCCCTTGCTTCTTTCGTTGTGAGGATGAATTATCCGCCCCATGTGCTGAAAGTTCATTAGGGATGTTAGGCCCTATGAACTAGTCCCGAGGCTAACTAAGAGAGGGGGTGAATTAGTATTTTTAAAAATTCTTTAAAACCAAGAAAAATATCACAAACCAAAGTCACGAGGGAAAAATAAGTGCGGAAACAGTAAAAAGAACATAAGGGTTTATAGTGGTTCAATCAACTTGACCTATATCCACTCCCCGGAGGCGCCCTCCGAGTATTGCACTACCAACGTGACTCTCCTTTAGCCCCCACAACTAGGCGGAGAAGCCCTTACAAAACACCTCATTTTTGCCACACCCGGCAAGGCAGAGAACCCAACTCCTTTTACTTCCTCCTGAAGCAGGCAGAGAACCTCGATCGATCGTTGAAGCTTACCTCTCCCAACCCTTCTAAGGATAAGAGACTTTACGGAAGAAGAAGTGGAACAATGCTTGGAGCAACCCTTGTGAACTCCCTCATAAGCTCCCCCTCACAAGATCCTCTCTCTCTCTCTCTCCTTTAGGTTTTCTCAGGTCAAGACAGCAGCCAAAGATCTCTAAAAAATATTGAACAAGAGCTCTTAAATAGAAGAGCTTTAAAGGAGCTCATTAATTACAAGTTGCCAACTTTATCGTCTAGGATGATAAACATATCATCATGTACGATCAGTTCAAATCATAGATGACCGGCTAGAACATCGCCCTGAAGATGATCTGGACGATTGAAAATTGGCTTGATCGTCCAGGCTGATTACACGATCGTCCTGGCCGATCAGTTCAAATCAGAGGAAAATCATCAAGAGCATCGCCCTAAATTTGTGCTGGCCGATATTTATCGTCCAGGAGCAACTAAGGGTTTTTGAATAGATCGTCCTGGTAGATCCTGCGATCGTCCAGGACGATGTGATCGTATCAATCATCCTTAATTACTTCCTTGATTCTTGGATTAATTTAGGCATAATTGTGAGTTATCGTCCAGGCCGATCTGTCGATCGTCCTGGCCGATTTCCAAAAATACATAATACCTAAATTGATCATGGCGGCAATTTCTTTCTGTATTGAGCATATCATCCTGGCCGATATAAGTATTGTCCAGGCCGATCAGTTAATTACGGCTCCCTTAACTAAGAAATCCTAATTAGAACTTTTGTTTTGAACTCGATCGTCCAGGACGATATAAATATCGTTCGGGAAGATGTAAGTAAAAATAGAAATTCTAAATCTCTCAAGTATGTGTGTGTAGGGTTTCTTAACATCAGTCACTTCACTATATTACAATTGACTCAAGAAAGGGAAAAAGAAAAAGAAAAAAACATACTGACTCAGACCTAGCCTACCCAATCTTGAGTTGGCTCAGTTTGTCGTCTGATCTTTTGGTCCTGGAACATAAGTAGAGGAAGGCAATCAAAGTGTTTGCTAACATCAAAATCACAATCCATGAAATTAAGCTTGCAACAGGTGCACCCTTGCACTTCCCATCAGTTTGCTCAAATTACTTTCTATGAGTATTTATGGCTTCATCTATCGAGATTTGAGCTTCCACACGATGAATCAAATCGGCATATAAATGAACGGTGTCGCGCATGAGTGCCAAATAGAATGGGTCAGGATGAAGGCCTACAAGAAAGACCCCTCTCAGTAATTCAGGATCCACTCCCGAAATTTGTCGAGCTTCAGTGGAAAATCATTGAAAATACTCCTTTAATGATTCTCCCTCATTTTGGCGGATCTCGGAGAGGTGGGAAGAATCTTTATCTATTCTTCAATTGGCTACGAATTGTTTGACAAAGGTTTTGGCTAATTTGATGAAAGAAGGGATCGTTCCAAATGAAAGCGAATAGAACCATGTACGAGCCTGTCCTTTAAGGGTGGAAGGAAAGACCTGTCAAAGGAGCATTCGAGGCTCGCTGAATATGCATGATGGTTTTATAGTGGTCGATATGCTCATACGGGTCAGACGTCCCATCGTAAGACTCAATGCTGGGTGCTTTGAATCCGACCGGAATGGGGTGCTGAAGGATGGCTTCAGTTAGAGGTAACGACTCCTGGAAGTCCCTCTATTGGAGAGTCTATCTCACATCCTCTCAGGGGAACTCTTCTCGTACCAATCTTCTCAGTTTATGATGTAAAGCATTATAAGGGAGCTCAGCAATGTGTGGTTGGGCTGAGTCTTCTGGGAGATTTGGAAAAACACGAGGCTGCCGAGTTGAGAGCGGAGGATGTGTAGAACTTGCTGTATCGGCAAGTTCGTTATCCTGTCGTGACTGCGGACGTCTTCTTGGTGGAGGAAGATGTATCTCCGTTAAAGATGTTCGAGTTGAACATCTTCAGCCAGCGGTGGAGCTTGAGGGAGAAGAACTTCCTCCCGTTGTGGTATTGCAGGTTGCCGAGTCTCTCGTATGAGTTGAAGGATCTCGTTCTGAGATTCTTCCATTTTTTTGGATCTTCTCTTCTAGGGAGGGTCCCGAAGTTCCTTCTCTAGCAGATAAAAGGGGGAAGACATCGGGCGTCTATGATTCATAGACTGATTTCTGGACTAGTGAGAGTTGGAGCGGGAAGCCCCAGCGATACGACTACTACGCTGTTGATCATTGTAGCAATAATTATGGGATAATGTTTCACATTGACGGAGCCAAACTGTTGCGGGCTAGAATATACGCGGCAGTAGAGTTAGAAATTTTCGTCTGAGCGTTGTATGAATAACTAACACATACAAATAGAAGATAAAAGAACACCAGGATTTTTACGTGGAAACCCTGAAAGGGAAAAAACCACAGGGCCTAGCCTAGTTGAAATGGTTCAACTAGTGTTTTGTTTGAAATACAAGAGGCTGACTAGTCCACAAAGTGAAGACGATCAGATTACAACGAATCTCTTTTAAGTTGAGATTCAATTACAAAGTTGAGTAGAGTTCTAGCATCACTATGGAGATTTGGCAGAATTCAAGTATCGTTCGAAAGTTGGATTGAATTCCGACGTCGAGCAAGACTTTTATGTCGCTTGGAAAGAATTTCGGCGTCACTCGAGTGTTTGGCCGAACTCCGACGTTGTTCGGGAGGCGGGAAGAATTCCGACGGTGGTCGAGGAGGAGCTATTTCCTCCTGTGCTTCTCTTATCTTCTTCTCTCCTTCTTGCTTGGGTTCATATTTCTGAGACGCTCAGTTTGACTATAAGCTCGATGAAATTGGAGTTCGGGTGCTCCCGAATTTAATTTTTGAAGTTTCTGATTTGATTTTACCTCGAAATTCATGCCCGATCAAGATAGTCTTTCGAGAATATATCAAGTATTATTATAATGAAGTTCTAAAACTCTCTTGGTTAGAGGTGTGAGTCTATCACGTCATCTCATAAATCTGCTCAATTAAATAGTTTGTGAGTCAGCACATTAAAAATATTAATATAATTTTTTTATTAAAAAAATTCATTTAAAAAATATTAACATAAAATATTTTTTTAAAAAACTAAAATTTAGGGCTGGTTGAACTCATTTATACCCTGCCGCTAGTGGTCTTGCGAACCTTGCGCTTGAGCACATGAATATCTTAATAAAAATGATAATAATAAAATTGAAGGTAGAAGAGGATCCGAAAATATTGGAGAGGAACACGCCAACAGAGGGCAATGGCGGCCGTTACTCCAATTTCTCTATTTATCCTTAGCCCTAATTATAATCCTTCTCACGAAGCTGCATCCTTTCGCTCTAAAGCTTTTCTGCAGCGAAGTGATCTGCTTGCTTCTTCACACTCTCTCTTCTGCATTCATCCTTCGCTGGTGTTCAGGAGCCGTCTCCTATTCCGAATTGCGACGAGTAGGCAGTTCTCCTGCGTAAACTGCTCTGCAGAGAACAAGCCGTCTCCTTCTTCCGATATAAGGTTGATTCTTGAACCTTTTTTTTTTCTTGAAATTGAACCTAGGGTTCTAATTTGAAAGTACATTCAAGAGATACCAACTCTATTTGATGTAGTCTAGAAATCGGGCCAGTGTATAGCAGGAAAGCGGCCTTAGGTGTCCCATTGAGTTGAGAGTGGGCGAGTATCTTCTTGACATGATCCTGTCAATTCAACAAGAGATGTCTTATGGGGAGATTTGTGCTGTTAGCTTAACTGTTGATATGTCTCTCATGGGAGCTTGATTTGACTGGGATGGACAAAGATTTGTCTGATTGAGAAAGTAATTTTTGAGGTTTCCCCCACCAGAGAGGGCGATTGTTTGGAAGATGTTGCCGAAGCTGTTCCGTCATGCTCCAGTGTTAAGATCGTTTACAATTCCTATGCAAGTCCCTAGAATGGACTGTTCTGAGAGAGGATACAGTTCTTTTTCTGCTCGGTCCGAATGTAATCTGCAAGACACCTATGAATGGGTACCTGCACAGGTAGTCATGGGTGCATAGAGTCAAAATAGGAGATAGCGTAAATATGTTGTGGGGCATATAATAAGCTTGAGGGTTCTTTTGAAGTTATACATATTTTGCCCAGTTTATAATATAGATGTCCTTTATTCTTAGCATATGTCCTTTAACTATACTGTTTTATCTTTAAAAAAAAAAAATACTGTTTTATCTTGGCCTCCAAAAAAAAAAATTCTCATACAATTTTTTTTTCTTCTTGTTAGCTGCATATGTAGGTAATTTGATGGTAAACGTTCTCTGCTCTGATATGATGGATAAAAACATAGATTATTTATATATTTATTTAGTCAATTCTAAGCACCAAAATATGACACATCTGCTACATAGAAAATGACTGGGTTTTTTTGCATTTCTGATGGTTTTTCTTGCATTTTGATAGAACTACTATATATGGAAAGATATTGAAGATGATTCAAATGTGTTTTCCTGTCAGTAGAGACATGCTAGCTCAGGATATGATGCTTTTAGTATCATGCTGAGTCCTGACACAGTGGTAACCTAACCAAATAAATTGTAGCCTAAGTTTCATTTCTCTATTTTATTATGTATATCAATCCTCTTAATTTTAGACATCCAGAGAAATGTACTTGTCCTTGTAGAAGTTTCTAAGGTATTTATTTGTAAAGAAAATAAAATCTAAGAGTTCTAGTATGTAATTGTTTAAATAGTTTATGATGCTTTTAGTATCATGCTGAGCCCTGACACCTTGGTAACCTAAGAAAATAAATTGTAGTCTAAGTTTCATTTCTCCATTTTTATTATGTAATATTGATCCTCTTTATTTTTGGCATCCAGAGGAAATGTACTTTGACCATTTATATTATTTGTCTAGTGATGCTGGACATTCTAGGGTCTAGATTATTTGGTGCCAATCTAAATGTGATACGATGATGATAGTGATTTTCAATTTCAGTTTGCAATTTATGCTAAAAATCATCTAACACAGCATCTACTTTCGACTACATCAAATAGTAGGAAAATAGTTGAAAATGTCAATGAAAAGGTTTTGATTATCAAATAAAAGTTTACGATAAGAAATAAAAATCATAAAACATACAAAACTGATTTAGAGTTCAATTTTGAAAAATAATTTGAAATGCATTAAATTTGAATAAAACCAATTTTATCAACAGGCCAATAAAAAATAATGAGTGTAAAAAAGAGAAGTAGAAGATACAAGAGAAGAAAATATACGCATGCAGGCCTCATTCTTGATTAAGTAGATTTCCTCTCTGAAAAGAGTTTCAAGTCTCACAGCTAATCAAGGATCGCCATTCTTGATTAGGTGAAGGTTTTCACATTAAATGAAGTATTTTAATCATACCATTGATTGATTTAACATGCCTCATAACACTTTTATTTATCGAAATTCATCACATAAAATTTTACGTTACTAAAAAATGTATCCCACAAATCAACAAGACAACAAAAGGTAAATAAATCACAAAATTCTCTTAAGAAGTTAGAAGAATAAGAAGTGATAATTTAAATAAGTGCTTATCCTTGGAATTCTGGAAGTTTAATTGGTTGCGAGAAAACTGTTGAGTTCCATAAGTTAATAGACCATAAGAAGTTTTGCAATTTGAATAAAACATAATGAAAATTTCTTTAAGTTTAGCTCTTGTGTAGACTCTGAAATAGGAAAATAGAGCCAAAATAATGACTCAGATTGAGAGCCGTAGTTCATCATAAAACATGTTAAGAAATCCATGTAAAAATAAACTATAATAAAATCATTTGATCTAATTACTATCAAATTACATATTAACTACTTAGCTTAGGTTGAACTCTATGTCGATCATTTTAGGTTCAATACTTGGGTAACTTCGAGTAAGTTGTCTGATATTCGCTCTATTATTAGCGAACACTTACTTCGATGCATGGCTCTTTGTGATCAGTAGATATTATCTTGTTGGCTAATTTCTCAACTTGATTGACTTATCTCTCTAATGACTTACAAGCCTCATCGAAGGCTGGCCTCTCAATTGTTGGTCACCTGACTACTTATAGTCGACTAAGATTATCTATTATAATTCTACCCCCTTAGCCTTGGCTTTGATCTGACTATAAATAGGATATCAAGTGTCAGTTGCTATTCATATATTTATGATAGTTTACAACAACAACAAGCCTTTATCCTACTATGTGGGGTTGGCTAAATGAATCATTTTTCTTCATTGTGTCCTGTTAAGAGTCAAATTCTCATCTAAATCTAAGAAAGAAAAATCATATCTAATATTTTCTAACCAAGACTTTTTAGGTCTACCTCTATCTTTCTTAACATAAGTCAAATTTAATACATATACTTTCCTAACCGGGTCATTTGAAGGCCTCTATTTTATGTGACCAAATCATCTCAGATGACTTTCTCTTAATCTTATATTCCACTAGAGCTACTCAACCTTTTCATGTATATATTCATTTTGTATCATGTCTCTAAGAGTAAAGCAACTCATCCACCTGAGCATCTTCATATCTGCAACACTTAACTTTATATTACTCTTTTAATGGCCAACACTCTGCACCATAAAGCATTACAAGTCTCACTACCATCTTATAAAATTTTCCATTAAGTTTGAGAGGGACTTTTCTATCACACAACAAGCCTGATGCATTCATCCACTTTAACCATCCAACTTAAATTCTACTAATAATATCCATATCTATTTGACCATCATCCTGAAAAATAGACCCAATATATCTAAAACATGTACTCTTATTAATGACTTGATTGTCCAAAGTGACAACCCCCCACTAGATCTATTATTATTAAAATTACACACCATATATTCAGTTTTAGATCCACTCAAACGAAAGCTTTTAGACTCTAAGGTTGACCTCCATAATTCCAGTGTACCGACGGTCGGCTTACCTGCAACTGGAAGTGGCTGACAGCGGGAACATGACTAGATACGGGAAGGCAGGTATGCCACCAGCGCGACGGGCATCAATAGCGATTCAGTTGGATGCGGTGGGAAGCGGAGTAGCAGTAGCTGGTCAGGGTGACCGTGACGGGCGTGACACGAGATTGGGACAGCCGGGGATGCGACGCGGGACACGCGGACGCGGGATTGGCCTCAGGCGCGACACGCAGATGCAGGGTTGGCCTTTGGCAGGATGTGGGCAGCTCCTGTCAGGCCTAGTCAGGGCGGACATCGGGTCATTCCGAGTAATTATCGGGTTTTTGGGTCAACCTGAACCCGACCAGATTTTGCACGGGTCGAAAACCTTAACCTGAACCTGACCCGGTTTGGGTTCCATACAACACGAACCCGAAATTTTTGGGTCGGGTTTGAGTCGTGTTTTCGGGTCGTGTCCAATATTGACACCCCTAACCTTGTGTTTGAACAAACATTGCAACCCTTGCTCCATAACTCTCTCCCATAATTTTAAAGTATGATACATTAACTTAATTCCTCTATAATTCAGACAATTTTGTGCATCACCTTTATTCTTAAAAATAAGAATCACATACTCATTCTCCACTCATCTGTCATTTTTTTATTCTTCAAAATAATATTAAAATGTTTAGTAAGCCAAAAAATTCTTTCATCTCCCAAGCATTTCCACATCTCTATTGGAATATTATAAGGTCTAATAGCTTTTCCACACTACATTTTCTTTAATGCCTCTTTAACTTCAATTTTACTAATACACCGATAAAAACAAAACTCAAAATTTTCATTTAAGATGCTAAGGTCACTAAAGTCAATTGTATTCTCACAATCTTCATTGAAAAGTTTAGCAAAATATCTCATCCACCTTTGTTGAATATCCTCTTCCAATACAAATACTTTTTGATCTTCATCATTAATACGCTTCACTTGAACTAAATCCTTACTATTCTATCTCTTTGTTTAGCTAACTTATACATATATTTTTTGCCCTCAGTATAATATATTATATAAATTATTAAAAACTAAAATTTTTGCATTGAATATTGCTTTCTTAGACTTTATACAGGCCTCTTTATATCTTTTTCAATCTTTAAAATTTTTACAGCTCAAGCAATTTATATAACATATCTTCTTATTATTTATCTTTTTTTGCACATTTTGATTCCACCACTAATTATTTTTACTATTAGTAAATTTTTCCTTTGATATTCCAAACACATCTTTTGTAACATTCTTAATATCTCTAGGTATTTTTTTCTCACATAACATTAGTTTTCTCATGTACAGACATAATCTTAAGATCTAGAATCTTACTCTCAAAAATATTTTATTAATTTTTTTAAATGCCCCCGTCTAATCCTAAAACAATGATTTACTTTATTTTTTATTTTTTTCCCCTTCAACTTAAAGTATAAAACTAATAAGCGATGTTAGGTACATAAACTTTTACTCAAAATAATTTTACAATATTTGCAATCTAAATGATCTATTTTTTTATAAGAAAATAATTAATCTAAGTTTTACTATATCCATTCTTATAGTGATGATATGCTTATCTTTTCTTAAA